AAAAAAAAAAAAAAAAAAAAGAAAGAAAAAGGAACAGGAAGCCAGTGCTTAGAAAATGCTTGTATTAAAGAAAATAGCCAAACATTCTGTATGAACCACTGCAGAAGCAGTGCCAATTGGTCTATCTTTCCTTACGCCTCCTCTGTCCAGTGCGCTCTTACCAGTCCTCATTCCTGCTAGCTACTCTTCCATCACTAAAGATGAAAACTGAAAATAAATAAGCACAATGTTGGCATCTGCAGGGATGCTCCTAAGTAATTAGAAATTTTTGTGACTGTAGGTAATAGCTCAATTTGAATAGATGAATCCTCCTTGATTGCACTATATGCAATTCAGAATTGAAAATTTTCTCCTTTGATTGAGGCTTTATTTCACTTCTATTCTTTCAAATGGAAAATGGAGAAAGAAAAAGAATTCTGAGTCAAGACACTATTTGGTAATACATGATATTGAACAAGAAGAGCAAAAGGTTCTCGCTGCGATAAAGAACAAAAAGGGCGGAATGGAGACCTGTGGAAGAATGAAGAGCTTAGTAGACGAGCATTATACCAGTTCGAAATCTGGAGAGGTGAAACATAAAATAGGAAAAGACGCAGTGCGAGAGGAACCACAAACAAAGAAAGAGAGAAGTGAAAAAAAGTAAAACCTAACAAAGCTTATATAAGGAATTATTTAATATTATGGGCAAGGTTGTGCTTCTTTTTTCTTCTTATTTTTCGTTGTAATGCTGTGTTTTATTTGGATGGACAAGTTATAGATGTAAAGGACAACAAGGCCTCTCTTCCTTTCACATGTGTGCCAACAATGAGATTGAGACCTACTATTTATTTTATTTGTTCTGCTCTCAATTCGACTTAATGAGCATTCCGTGTTTCTGAGTAGAATCCATTTTTTTTAAATGTAGCACCAAGGAGTTATATGGTAGGAGTCTAGGAAGTCCAATATGCTAGCAACATCATTTACCAAGTTCATCCTCCACTGAAACTGATATTACAGTAGATATTGAAGTTGTTCTCCTTTAGGATATCTGTGATTAGATTTCTACCCAAACTATCCAAAATATGCATTAAGTGGTGCTCCAAGTGATGACAAGTTGGATAAAATGAATTTGGGCCCTAAAGAGAAGGGGGATTTGCAGGATTGCTGCTTTTTTGCATCTCTTGGTTAATTTCAGGAGAAAGTGAACAATATGACTTTTCAATTAATGGAAAACCTATTTGCTGAATTCAAGAATTCTCTTTTGTATTATTTATATTTTGCTGTGAAGACGAATTTCTTGACTGGATTTTTCCGTAGCGTAAAACATTTTGTATTTTGCGAAATCAATGAATATGCAACAGTTGTCAGTCACTCTTTCACAATATTGGTGGATCTGGATGCTGATGCTATGGCCATCAACTTAGTAATATTGTTTGAACCTTTTGGGATGTTCTTGTAACCCCCTTTTCCTTTTGGGGGATATCATTTAATTTTTGGTTTTGCAGTGAATTTTCACTTCGTTTTGATTTAGAATATGTGGGAAGCTAATGAATTAGATTAATGGAATTCGTTTGCAAATTACATAGGAAAATTTTATTTCCAACATATTGTCCAGAGTTCAGAAGTGAGTTTAAGTTGCAGTCTTCAGGGAGGTGAGTCTAGTTGCAGCCTTCAAACTCTTGGTAGAAACGACCATAGCTACTCTGTATGTGTGTGGTATTCAATCTGAATCTGTTTCACCTCTTGAAGTGTTTTACATGTTAAAAAGAAACAAGGGAAAAATCACGTTTGAGGTTTGACACAGACCTTGTCTACTCCTCTTTCGTCCCACCTCCTCCCTTTTCTCAATCTTTTGCTTAAGACCTGAAACAGCCAGCCATTTACTTTTGCTCCCATAAGACACAGTGACCTGTATCATTGCTGACATGGTGTGTGCTTTCAAGGGAGTTTTATGATGGTGAGTGAATATGCTGTGGAAAGCCCTAATTGACTTGGAATTTTGGTTCCAGGTCATTGATGTCCCAGGCATAGTTTAGTTTCGTTTCCTCATTGGTCCAAGATAATTGCGTGTCTTGAGATGAAAGTATGGAAGTTCTTTCTTTCACTTTATTGCATGTCCTGTTTAAGCATAGTAACTTGATCATCCTTTCTCATCTTTCTTGGTAAGGACGAGAGAAAAGCACTCACGTGTCCTTGCCATAGGGATGGGAATCCTCTTATAAACTTTTTCTTATTCCTTTTATTTCACTTGGATAGCCAAGGGAAATAAAAAAGGTATCTTGAAACATTTTATTGGTACATGTTTTGGTGGGAGAACTAAAGAAATCAGAAAGTAGACTAGACGCATCCGTTTAAGGCTACCCACTTTGGTGGATCTTACCAAATTTTCACCTGATTAGAAAAAAAGAAAGAAAGAAATTAGAAAGTAGACGAATATTCTAATTGATTGGCATAATTGCCATTTTCCAGGCTTTGAAGGAGTTCCTTTGTCATGCTGAAGGTGAAGTGAGGTCCTTGGCTCAACTTTATTCTGGTGTGGTAGGTGTTATTTGTAACAGAAACATTTGTGGTCTTTTGGTGTCTGTCCAACATTAAAATGTTCCTAATGGTGTGCTTTTCTCTGTACCTAACAGGGTAGAAATGTTGATTCATTGATTCTTTACTTTGGAGAAGACCCAGCTCGTTGCCCATTTGAACAAGGTAATGTTTGATAAGTCATCGTCCTTATATAGGAAAAGTTGAATGCAACAACCATCTTGATTAAGTTGTTATCTACTAATTGGCTCTAATTCTCGTTTGTTCTTTTAAGAAGAAATGTAATTGGTCTTACTGACATATAGCTTGGTTGATCAAATAACTTGTCGGCTTCCTAGCTTTAATTTGTGTTCTCTGTGCTTCAGATTTCTGCGACATTATCGCAGCTAGCTGATGCTTTTCTTCAGTGCCTTGCGGTGTCGTGCGTTTGTATAGCTTAAATTTTTTGAATTATAGCAGTGTTGTTTGTTTGTATAGCTTAAAAGTTTTCAATTATACTATTCTACATTGATACAGACCATGCAAAGTGTGTCCTATTGTCATGTGAGCTTAACTCCATTTCTTTTCCCCCTAGTTATCTCAACGTTGCTAAACTTCCGAAGGATGTTTAATCAAGCCCTAGAGGAAAATCGCAAGCAGATTGAGTTTGAGAGAAAGAAAGCAGAGAAGGAAGCATTGGAGAATCAGAAAACGAGTCATTCAGAGAAAACTTGACCCATTCTGCATAGTCTGAAATAATGTACTCTTATATGGAAATATCATCATGGCAAAGCTTGGCCGAGATCGAAGATCCTGGGGAGCGAGAAATCAGTTATCTGACTGTATAAAGACGATGTACATTTTCTGTGGAAACACCGGAGATACGTTGGTGTAGGTTTGAATGCTTCCCAGTGCTCCTCTTTTATTATTGAGAGAGGTAATCTCGAGAACTGCATGCTCTTGCTACTCCTTTTCTGTGTTTGATCCTTCCTAACTTCTTTTTTCTGGTTTAATTCGTTTCAATTATCTTGCAGAATCGGGGAGTATGCAGATGGAATTACGTTGGGGCGGTAGGCTAATTGTACATACTAGAAAAAGAATGTAGAAATTCTTGGAGGTGATGCCTTTTTTTCTTCTTGGTGATAACCTAGAGCTAATAGTTTCATTCTTTATTATCTGTATTTCATGCTGATGATCCTAGTTTGATCTAGTTTTGTGGTCATCATCCTGTTCAATAAAAATAGTTGTTTATGTTAAGTTCCTTTATAGCGATATCTCTCTCGTCAAGTCATTTATTTTTCGACATTTTGTTTGTGTGATGTTTGATATATACGCCTCTCCCTCGTGTATCATTCTGATAATTAGGTTTTATTGAAGTACCAAGACTCGGATACTTCAAATTCCTTATCTTGCTTCTGCTGTATCCGACTTATGAAAGGCTACAAGTTATATAATATTTAACAGTGTAAACAATATGAGTGTAATTGTTTATTAGTAGTAGTTTGTAATTGTAGTTCAACATCCCATGTGAATGACGATCTGAGTTTGTGAAGCAAACAGCTCTTATGTAAGAGATATTTTGGCTGCATTAAAGGGCAGTTTGGTGCACTAAGCTCCCGTTATGTGCAGTGTCTGGGGAAGGGCCGGACCACAAGAGTTTATTGTACGCAGCCTTATCTTGCATCACGTGCCGTAAACGCTCAGCTCTGTTGTGCAAAGTTCAAAAAGTTTCCAAGAAACTAATCTTGCTATTACTCCCATTATCCTATCAGTTTTGCGCACTCTTGCAACTTTCCATTCTTCTTTTCGTAAAAATAGCAAGGGCTAGCCAGATTTTGGACTGGTCATTTAAAAATAGTCAGTGTTTGCAAAGTTATTGAAAAATAGCCATTATTTTGCTGCAACATGGAACGTTCTAGCATAATATACTGGAGATCGACGTGTGTAGGAACTTCCAGCATAATATGTTAGAACTCCAACACGCGGAAAGTTCCAGCATAATATACTGGAGATTGGAGCACCTATGTACAACATATTATGCTAGACCGGTATCTTATACTGGAACTCAAGTATATTATGCTGGAGTATTTTTCGGATTTTGAATAGCATTTTCGTTCAAATTTATCTTTACATGAAAAGTGTCTAAATTTCGATTACTTTTGAAACTGTAATTATTTTTTAATGACCACTTGTATTTCATGTAAATTTCTCATTTTTGAATTTCTCCCATAATAATGATAGTCTCGAGCCCATCACAACGTCTAATTCTAAAAGATCATTCTTTGTCTAAGGAGGTCTAACCGCCACATCAATTATTTGGGGGGAGGTGGGATATTACAAGGTGGGTAGTTTATCTGGGATGGATGCCTCCTAAAGAATAATGGAGGTGTAAGATGATTAAAACAACTCGCTTTAACTATATTTTTTTTTCATAGAAAAAAGAGAAAATAAAATATAAGCAAGCACATGACGAAGTGTTCACTTAGCTAAGATGCTCTCATGTATATTTGGTATATATAGTTAATTTTCCTTTCATTTTATTTCGAGAAGTGTAGTAGTCATAACGCTTCCAAATTAAATTCTGCTGTTTGCATCGGTTTGTTATCAACAAAATTAACTCTGCACATTAATTATAATTAAGTTTATAAACGTTATAAACAACAGCTTTTCAACGAGTAAGGCCAATATTGCAATTTCTTATTCTACGAGTGATTCTGCCAATAGACTATATTAAATTTTCATTTTAGGTCCAAATATTGGTCTCAGATAGTAGTTCATACGGCAAAATTAGCATGTTTAAGTAGACCCGTACTGTGAGTTGTTTCATGTCATAAATACACTCGAACGCTCAAGAAATTTGTTGGACAAGCAGATTCTAAGTAGTGGAGAAAATTCAAAAGAAAACACAAACAAGTCGGATTTGTAATGGTCTTTTTAGTAAAAGGTTTGCTTCTTAAACATTCATGTTTCCTACTGTAATTTTTTTTCCTCGCTTCTCGCCTACTTGTATAATATTTCAGGAAATGGCCAAATGAGTATTTGTGAGGATCAAGAAGAATTGCAGAGAAGAGTGTTGTAGTTATCAATCTCATAGGCGGATCCAGGATTTGAGGTTTATGTGTTCTTATCGTAATTTTAGATTAATATGCAATTATAACTGTGTTCACAGTTAGATATTTACAAATATTTAAGTGAATTTCTTAATATAAATACAGGGTCTATGCAAAACTTATTGGGTTCCCGGGAACTCGTATTCTATACTCTAGGTCCGCCCCTGATCAATCTGTACATAATCACTACTTATAAATACATGAATTATCGACGGACAAATTCTATAGCTAACAACGACAACAACAACAAAAATTCAGTGTAATTCTATAAATGGGGTCTGTGGAGGGTAGTGTGTACACAAACTTTACCCTATCTTATAAAGATAAAGAGGTTGTTTCTGATAGACCCTCGGCTCAAGGAACAGTGGAGATAAGATAAACCAGCAAAGTAGCAAACAATTGTGACAACAATGCACTATGGTAACGAGCGCGAATGACGCTGCCTGTAATAATAAAGAACCATGATAAGATGATACAAAAATAATCTTAGTACTGTTGGTAAGCCTAGGAGGAATACACTATTATCAATCAACCTACAACCCTAATCCTCGACTTCCACACCTTCCTATCGTAGGTCATATACTCGGTAAGCTGAAGCAACGACATGTCCTGCCTAATTACCTCTCCCTAATACTTCTTAGGCCTACCCCTTCCCTTCTTCAGACCCACCATGGACAACCGCTCACACCTCCTGACCGGTTTATGTCTCTCTTCTTTACATGCCCGAACCATCTCAACCTCGATTCTTGCAACTTGTCTTCTACAGATGCCACTTCTACCTTGTATCTAATAACTTCATTCCTAATCTTGTCCTTCCTGGTATGCCTATACATTCATCTCAACATCCTCATTTTAGCTACTTTCATCTCCTGGACATAAGGCTTCTTGACGTGCCAGCACTCAGCCTCATACAACATAGTCGGTCTAACCACCACTCTGTAGAACTTGCTCTTAAGTCCAGGTGGCACATTCTTATCACACAAAAACCCCCGCGGTGAGCCTCCTTCTCATCCACCCCGCTCCAATATGATGAGTAACATCTTCGCTAATATCGTTGTTGCCTTGAAAGACCCAAGATACTTGAAATATCTATTTTGGGGATGACTTGTGTACCATCCTTCACTTCCACTTCTTCTTCATGTATCCCATCATTGAACTTGCACTCCAAGTACTCAGTTTTTGACCTACTCAACTTGAAACCTTTAGACTCCAGCATCTGTCTCCAAACTTCCAACCTAGTGTTAACTGCCCCCCCTCCGTCTCGTCAATCAGAACTATTCCATCATCAAATAGCATACACCATGACACTTTCCCTTGTATGTGTCGCGTCAGCACATCTAACGCTAAGGTAAAATTCATTGATTTAGCGACTGATTAACAATAAATGATCATAAAATTCTGTTAGATACGAGCTATTTAGTGACATATTATCGTTACCAACTCCAACATTTTTTTGTAGGATAAGCCATTAGTAGAGAGAAATTTAAAGTTAAAAAAGTGTTATATAGATCAGAGATTGTTTATATTATGTAGTAGTGCAGGATAGTGAGATAACATTAAAGGTCTGTAATAATTAATTAATTTTAATTACTTAGTTATTCCACAAAACCCTTAGGTGCAAACAAATGAGAGTAATCTTTTAGGTGCAAACAAATGTATGGAGATATGAAAAGAAAACAAATTAGGTAAATGAACTCAACCGAAAAGCTAAAAGAAAGGAACAAAAACAGTAAAATAAATTGAAGAGAAAAAATAAATAATAAGAACCAGATATTAATCCGAGATTTGCGAGAGAAAAAATTAATTAAAACCCTCTAATATTCTCTCTATTTTCTTTCAAACTCTCCATCCCTCATTTCTTGCATTTCTCCATTCCCTCGAGAGTTTCTTACCTCATATTTTCTTTTCCTTTTTTTCTTTTCTTTTTATATTTATTTATTTTCCTTCTGAAACTCAAGGGGGGATACTTCTTTCTTCCTTCCTTTTTCTGATCTCAAGATTCAAGTGAGTATTATTTGATTTTTTCCTTTCTTCTTAATTCTTGATGTTATATATGTCATTGCATGTACATCTTTTCACATTTACATTTATGTAATTTATGCATGTCATTGCATATAATATCTTTTCACATTTACATTTATCATGAATATTTTCTGTTTTATATAATTTTGAGGAAGGGGAGCTTTGGAGCAATGGTTAAGTTGTCCCTGTATGACCTATAAGTCTCGGGTTCGAACCATGGAATCAGCTATTATCAGGGTAGGCTGTCTACATCGCACCTCCTTGGGGTGTGACTCTTCCCCGGACGGACCGTTGTCTCTGTCTAACCTATATGTCACGAGTTCGAGCCTTAGAATCAGCCAATGATGCTTGTATCATGGTAGGTTGCTTGCGCCACGCCTTCATCGGGGTGTGGCCTTCCCCGGAACCTGCATGAACGCAGGATGTTTTACGCACCCGACAACCCTATTTTATATACAATTTTGAGATGGATTGTGAACATATAAATTTAACATATAGTAAAAGTTTTTTTTTTTTGTGTGTGTGTTTGTTTGTTCTAATTAAAGATGATGCTTATTGGTTCAAATTTGTTTAAACATCTATACTTTGGGTGGAAACAGGATTTGAAGAAAATGATTCGACATATCTTATTAGTTTCCTTGCTAATCCATTGCACTTTAGCTAAACCAAAAGGTGGAAAGCCTCTTTCTCCTCCTCTTCCCAAGAGAACATGGTTAACATTACATGGTAATTAAACTACTATACTTATTTTATTGTTGGGAATCCGAGTCATGAACCTATAGAATTGAAATCCTAAATCCGTCTCTGCAGGTGATGAGCCCGTAGTCGTTGCGAATGGGGGATATTCGGGACTTCTTCCCGCGCAAACAGATATTGCATTTTCTCAAGCAAATGCATTAGGAAAGCGCGGTACTGTCTTGCTATGTGATCTACATATGAGTCGCGACGGACAGGGCTTTTGTTTGTCACAGTTAAACATTCAGAATACAACAAATGCAGCTGATGCTTTTCCGAATCGTCGAAAAACTTACATTGTTAATGGCAAAGAAATTCAAGGATGGTTTGCACTGGATTTTATAGCTGATGAGCTTTATAGTAAATTGCAAGGTATGTCACAACTTATGGACTTGTTTGTTACCGAAATTAAATGGCCATACAATTATTTTAATAT